CCCTAATCTAGGCTGTGGAAACCAGAACTTCGCCTGGAGAACAGAATGCAACCAGTGTAAGGCCCCTAACCCCAAAGGCTTCCTTCCGCCACCCTTCCTGTCCCCAGGTGGTGACTGAGGCAGAGGTGGCCCTGGTGGCATGCAGAGCGGGTGAAGTGACCTCATGGACCATGGCGGTCCAAGTGGAATATTCAGAGGGGGCCATGGTGGAGACAGAGATGGCTTCCGTGGTGGCCGAGGCGGCTTTGGTGGAGAAGACAAGTTGGTCCTAGGGACCCCCCTAGCTCTTTAATGGAACAAATGGGAGGAAGAAGAGGCAGACGCAGAGGACCTGGGAAAATGGATAAAGGTGAGCACCGCCAGGAGCGCAGAGACAGGCCCTACTAGATGAGACACCCTGCAGAGCTGCATTAACTACCAGATTTATTTTTTTTAACCAGAAAATGTTTTAAATTTATAATTCCATATTTATAATGTTGGTCACAACATTATGATTATTCCTTGTCTGTACTTTAGTATTTTTCACCATTTGTGGAGAAACATTAAAACTAATTAAATGGTAAAAAAAAAAAAAGAAGCTCAACGAACCACAGGAAGGATAGACCCTAAAAGAAAATCACCAAGACACATAATAATAAAGCTCTCCAAAATCAAAGGACAGAATCCTGAAAGCAGCTAGGGAAAAGAGAATTGTTAACATACAAAGGCAAGCAAATCAGATTAAGATCAGATCTCTCAACAGAAACTGTGCAGGCAAGAAAGCAATGGGGAGATATATATAAAACCCTGAAAGAAAAAAACTGCCCCCCAAGAATCCTCTACCCAGCAAAGCTGTCAATCAAATACTATGGTGTAATCAAAACATTCCAGGATAAACAGAAGCTAAGGGATTTTGCCAAACCAAACGCTGCGATGAAAAACATCCTAAAGGAAGTTCTGTAGACTGAGAACCAACAAAAACAGACAACTAAAGAAAGACATATGTGGCAGCATCACCCCGAACTCAATCGACAAATGGAAGAAGAGTCAAGAACAGAATAAAATTGTAAGAACAGAAGATGTGGGTGGTCAGTCTATGATCAAAACAATTACCGTGTGAAAGAAGGTAAACACAGAGGAACAGAGTTCCAGGTGGTGGGAAGGCCAGGTAGATTATAAGATAAAATAGATTGTCTCAAATGGAGGGAAGAACTAATGAAATACAATAAGGTAACCACAACAATGGGGTTTAGTTCGGGTGCTGGGGAGGGCAATGCAAGACTGGGGAGGTAGAAGAACAAGAAGACAGATAGGGGAACACTGAGACAGGTTTGCATGGCCTAAGTGGGACAGAGGTGAATAGTGATGCATGTTCAACCTTGGAACAATAGGGCTCTGGGATACAGGGAGCTAGGTATAGCTTGCAGAGGGTAAATAATACTAAAATGCTTGATTGTCTTAGAACTATTAATTTCCCTTGCCTACTACTGTAAAACAGATACTTGAGTGGGACAGAAAGGAATGTTGGGAAACATGATTATAGAAAAAAGTAAGCCTGCCTTCAGCCTATAACTGATTGGAATACCTAAAAGGGGTTCTAGAACTTGCCCAGTGAAACAGGCCTCTTTTAAAGCCTTTACAGAGTATAGAACCTTAGGTAGAATCCTGAGTCCCATCCAGAACCTTATGAGGTGGGATATTCCCATTAGAAAGAACAAGCAGAAGAGCCTGGAACAGCTATAGTGACAGAAGACACATCTTCAAAGGAAGATCATCAAGAAAAACCCAAAACAAAAATGTCAGCATGACTGGCTACTACAAGAATAAGGAAGCTATTTGCCAGGAAGATATCAAGACTAGCAATCAAGTTCCTTCAGGACAAAAGCCCTTCTAAAACTGAAATTCAAAGGGAAAACACAACCATGTAAGCTTGCTGGCGACCACATTGGTCTACTGGTGAGTGGGGGGGGGGAGGCAGCAATGAAGAAATGGGGTGAGTTCAACCACAGTCAACTCCCGTTGACCTGGAGACGAGACACAAGAGGAAGGGCTGGTTGGTCCAAAGTGTGGTGAGACCTAAGGACACTTGAACCCATGGGCAAAGACACAGCCACAGAGGGCTAGAGCTGAGAGTGAAGCATCCATCTGATATGAAGTGAGGAGAGATGCACAAGAATACCCAAACTTGCAGACAGCACCCATGTGACCTAGGTCAGTTAGATTAGCTTCGACGGCTCCATAATCAGAACTTGACTAGAGAAAGACTACAAAAAAAAAAAAAAAATTTTTTTATTTTTTATAAAGGACACAAGGGTAAATTGCTACAATTTGATGAACCTGACCTATACTCAGTGCGGTAGTTACTCTAAATACCAACAGAGAGGGATGGAGTCTTCACATCAAGTATCAATGCTATCCCTTCTGTACACAGGGTAGACAGGGACGGGCAACTTAGACATTGGCTACCTAAAACAAGGAGGCGATAAAGGTATGAAGTACTGGCTTACAAGGTTTCAAGAGGGAGTATTGTTTAAGAATATGGGAGGAAAGAAAGAGTCCCCACTGAATAGATTTCAACTTGTCTAAATGGGTCTGGTGAAAAGAGATGGGGATAAGACTTTGATTCAATAGTGAATAATTGTTATCATGACTAATTGCAACTGTCACAATTGTAAAGGTAGAAGTTTTGTAACAAAAACAGGGTGTGGTTAATATTACAGTCCAGAAACAGAGGACCCTAGGACCTTCAAAGGAGAAGAGCACAAGCAGAATACAGTGCCTTACCTAGACAAGCAGGGATGCCAAGGAGAGGGACATGGAGAGGGGGAGCTGCTGAGGACTCTAGATTCATGTGAAGAGAGGGACTAAGAGCTGGTGGCCAGGAGGCAGACTTACAGAATGTGCCCTTTGGAGGTGTAAAGTATTATATATGCCTGATGGTTTTGTTTGGTTTTAAAAAAGCTAAAGTGGATAGAGAGAAATACTGTTAATTGATGGTACATGGAGGGGATTATAATCATTGTAATGAAAAAGGTGTATGAATTGTTGAATGTAAAACTGATGATCTACCCTATAAGCTTTCACTCAATCCACAATAACCTTAAAAAAAAAAAAAACCCTCAAAAGGGAATAGAAATCTTACTGCCTATTATTCCCTTCATCTCCTAACTACCCACCCCCTTAGATTTCTTAAAATCTCATTTTACGTGAAAGGTAACATTAATACTGTGTTCTAAGCCTTGCTCTTTTCCAGTAGTTTCATAATCTTTAGCAAGTTATCTACCTTTTGAGTTTACTCACCTGTAAAATAGCATATGTGCAGATTAAATACAAAGATGCATGGAAGGAACCTATCACAAGAGTCAGCACACAGGATAACTGTTCAGTACAATAAAGACTACCTCTGCACTTTTCTTATAGTTCTACTGCTACTGAACACAACAGACATGCCTCCTAACACTGTACATTAACTAATACGTCCATGGGAAGCTGACAAAACACAGCAAGTCATCCCAACTTGTAGCTTTCTCTGCGCTTAGAACTGAGATGGAGGCACCTCTGCAGGCAATTGTGACAAATTCTGGAGCTGGAGCACAAGGTTAGCCTGAACAAACTAATGCCACAGTGGACAAGCCACGTCCCAAATTTGCCACAATGCAGATCTGCCTGCCAACTCTACGGACAGACAGAAAGATGGTGAGGCAGCCAGGAAGGTCTAAGACACAGGGTGATCAAGTAGGGGACTTGCAGCCAATCACAGGAAGGATGGGATGTGGAGGGATGATTCGACCATTGGCTGCCCACAGTGCGACCCATCCTGGCCCTCTCCTTCAGTGAAGTTTTAAACGATATATACTATGTTATAGTGTGCTGTCCAGTCAATTCCAAGTCACAGTGACCCTATAACACAGTGATTTACCCATTACAGTTTCTTAGGCTATAATCTTTACTAGAGATTACCATGTGTCTTCTCCTCTAGGCCAACTGATGGGGTCAAACATTTGGAATTTCACTTAGCAGCTGTCTTTAACCATTACACCATGAACGCTCCTAATCTATACTAAAGTTTTGCATTTTACAATTATAATTCACAGCTTTTAAGGTCTAAATGCTACAATAAAACATTCATATTGATCATTTCTAAGTGATAAAACCAAAATAAACTCAAAGTCATTGCCATCAACTGATTCTGGCTCACAATGACTCTATAGGACAGAGAAAAACTGCTCCACAAGGATTCCAAGGCTGTATATAGTCTTTATGAAAACAGACTGCCGATATCTTTCTTCTGCATGGGTTTGAACCGCCAACGTGTTAGTCAGCAATTAAGTGCTTAAACACTGTGCCACTAAAGTTCCTTCTTCATGTAATTTGTTGGTGTTAAATGTAGTCGAGTCGGTTTCAACTCATAATGACCCTGTATAAGGCTTTCAGGGAGTGGTTGGTGGGTCTGAATTGCCCACTTTGGGGTTAACAGTTCAGTGCTTATCCTACAGCGCCACACCAGGACTCCTCTTTATGTGATATTGTCAAATGCCATCAAATCTGTTCTGACTCACAGCGACCCTGTATAGGATTTCTGAGTAATGGCTGTGGGTTTGACCTTGTGGTTAACAGCTAACCAATACCCTTTTTATAGACCGGAAAATCAAGGTAAAAGTATAAATCCCTTTCTAATAACAAACTATTTTAACAATCATGCATAGATTTTTAAGGAGAGCTATTAACGATCCCAAAGACAACATAAGCACTTGATAGTTTTCAGAGTGTCCTTGTGTCTGGCTCATCAAAGATGTCATACTGAACAAGCTTATTCGAAGAATTCCAAACGGGAGTAGGAGTAGCTCAAACCAAGCCCTTTCTGACCTGGAATGCTTTTCTCTCGGAATCCACATCCCTGTCACAAGCAACACCCAAGAGAAGCCAGGCACAAGCATTTTAAGACTAGAAGAACACCCCCACATTTTCAACAGGATGCAGTTTCTTTGGATATTATTGCTCAGAAATATTTAACGTTGTACCGCATCTGGTCGCCCATTGGCATCCTTCAGCTCCAAGTAGGGCTTCTTCTTCACTCGGTTCAGATCTTCATGCAATCCATCTAGAAGAAAGGCTAACAGCTCCTGGGAGTCTTGTTGCTGGTAGCCAGAGAACTGAGGGGCGAAACGTCCAACCTGGGTCTAATATAAAAACAATCATTATCAGAAAATGTCATATATAAAGAACCAAGAGTCAGGGGGAAATGATCAGAAATAGTTCTGTAGAGTCAGCTGAAATGTGAGAGCAACACTTAAGTTGAATAGCCCAATTAATTCCTAAAAGCCCAAAGGAAGCTAGTGGTTCCCGTCTGAGACACCGCTCAGATCAGAAAGCCAGAACAAGAAGGCCAACCTACCCCGAAAGAAAGGGGAAAAGTGATACCCCAAGTAGTCACACGTAAGTACTGATATGAATCCCTCTCCAATTTCCTTCTGTAGTTTAAAATCTTCTAAGAACTTCAGAAATGACACCTGTATCAGCCAGAGGGATTCTCACTTTCTGTCTTGTATTGCTCCACACTACTGGTCCTCAAAGTGTGGTCTCTAGACCAGCAGCAACAGCACCACTTGGAAATCTGTTAGAAATGCATATTCTCAGGCAACAGCCCAAAACTACTCAATCAGAAACTCTGGACACACAGCACTCTGTGTTTTAACAAGCCTTCCAAGGGATTCTGATGCGTCCTAAAGTTTCAGATCCAACTCTACACCTAAGTTATTCACTAACCATGAAGAGCTACTTTAAATTTAAATTAATTAAAATAAAATACAATGAAAAATTCAGTTCCTTGGTCACAGTAAGTACATTTTATGTGTTCAGTAGTCACATGTGACTCAGGAGCTCCCATACTTGACAATGTAAATGTGGAGAGCATGTTTACCATTGAGAAGCATTACACTACCCTTAACATCATCCTTAAATAACCAAACCAGATTCACTGCTGTTGAGTTGATTCTCACGCTTAAGAGACCCTATAGGACAAAGTAGAGTCCTGGAGTGGCGCTGAGGGCTAATGCGCCAGACTGCAAAGCCGTCTGAACTGCAAGGTCGGCAGTTCAAGCTCACCAGCTGATTCTCGGAAACCCTATACAGGGTCACTATGGGTCGGAACCGACTTGATGGCACTTCACAACAACAACATAGGACAAAGTAGAACTGCTCTCATAGGGTTTCTAAGGCTAGAATTTTTAGGGTTTCTAAGGCTAGAATTTTTACAGAAGCAGACTGCCACATCTTTTTCCTGTGGAACTGGAAGGTTCAAAATGCTGACTTTTCAGTTTTCAGTGCTAAGCACTATGCCAACAGGGCACCTTAATATCTTTTAAAACTATCTGACAATGTTTGTTTATAAGGAGCACTGACTGGTAGCATAGTGGTTACGAGCAGGGCTGCTAACCTCAAGGTCAGCAGTTTGAAACTACTAGCGGTTCCACAGGAGAAAAATGAGGTTTCTGCTCCCATAAAGATTTACAGCCTTGTAAACCACATTCAGGGTTGCTATGGGTCAAAAGTGACTCGACGGCACTTAATAACAACGTTTGTTTATACTAGTTTGAGCTGGTCTTTTAATAACTTAGTATATGAACAATAATTTACATATTATTTCCCCAAAGATTAATGTGACTAAGGAAATGAAAGAGAATTCATTTTCAATTATAATAAATTATCCAAGATTGAAATTTTCTTGTGGCAGTAAGTGATTTTTCTACTTTGAATCAGAAACATGCATGCCTTTTCTACCACGCAATTCACAGAGGCTCCTTTGAACCTCATATAGGCCATATAAGCTCTCTCAGATTTTAGCATATGGGAGCCAAGGCACATTCCCCTCAGCTGGAAAGAACCAAAGCAGTATACAGCCTGAGCTGCAGCCTGGCCATCTGCTCCCCACATCTTCTTGGCTTGAGGTATCCAAGTGAGAACTGCCACTTGTCACCTTCCAGGAATAGCAACTCAATTCCTGACTTGGGGAGGGGGAGGAAATTCACACCACAGGGTAGGTTTAGGCTCAGGTTCAAAGACCCAGGAAGTACACTTCAGATGATACTAGAAGTTAAATTGAATTTTTATGATCTGGCTTTTAGGATAATGACTATTTAAAGACTAGGACCGCATAATCTAGCATTCTGAGAGGTCATCTTAAAAATGACATGGAGAGCACCCTCAACTCAGAGATGGAACTGAAGACATGCATTGAATAAATGGGCAGAATAACTGGATGACAGAAAAGAAGGGTCTGATATGGTGTGGTATGGTGCTTTTCTTCTCAGCTCACATCTTAATGCAAAAATGCATGTAAAAAAATGCCTCATTAGAACATTAAACCACTCTCCCCAAATAGGAAAAAGGAAGCATACACACAAAACCTACTTTGAACACGCGAGGGGCCACATGAGTATCCCTTCCAGACCACATCTGCTTAATGAGCTCTGCATAGGCTTCTGCAATCTCCCCTTTCATTCCCAGCGGGTTATCTCTGTTGATTTCGGCCTCATATTCATCTTCGAGAAAGTAGTCAGTCAGTGGTGCTGTATTGCTCAGGCACTAAAACAGAACATTACTGCAGCTCACACCCCTTCTAGACAGCATACAGAAGAATAAGATAAGCCAAGTTCTAAAGGGTCACTGAAGGTCAATCCCAATAAAATGAAGCACTCAGGGAATTCTCTGAAAGGCTCGTTAAGAGCAAGCGCAGCTTACCTGGAACCTGAGCTGGTAGATCACTTCATTACTAACCTCCCAGGGACATGGTCTTGGAGGACCTAAAGTTTACTGCCTAAGTCTTCATTCTAAAACAAGAAGCTACCAAAGGGCAAAAGCTGTGGATCTCAAGTACCTTGCAAAGAGAGGCTAACAAATAGCATTTGTTTTCAATGAAAGTGACTGGGACATTCTGGTGTTCCATCAGAAGACAAAATATAAATAAACTGAAGGCAAAATGTTTTACTAAAGACAAAACATTATGGGGGGGAAAAAAACAAAATAATTAGATGTGCAAAATCCAATAAATCATTGTGTGATTTTAACGCTTCACATTTCCAAATGAAGATGTGTACTAAATTATATTAAATGTTTTTCTACATCTATTGAGATCATTGCATGGTTTTCTCCTTTACTCTTACTACTGTGTTAAATGACAATGATTTTAAGTGGTAGGCTAACCTAGTCCTGGCACAAATCTTACTTGATCATGACATACTATTTTTAGAAATCACTGAATCTGATTTGCTAAAATTTTATACAGCTTATTTATATTTACAATTATGATAATTTCCTTCCTTTAATTTTCATGCCAGATTTTGGCCTTGGGGTATGTAGCCTTGTAATATGACTTAGAAATTTATCCCTCTTTTTCTACTCACTAGTATATATGTATGATTGGTATTATCTTTTCCTTAAATTTTTTAATACATTCACCACTAAAGCAATCAAAAACAAGAATTCTGTTTGTTATGCAGTTTTAAATTCCCAAATCAATTTCACCAACATATATAGGACCATTCAAATTTGTAATTTCTTCTTGTGTTAGTTTGCTAAGTTGTGCTTTTGTAGGCACCCGGTCTGGCTCATCTAAATTGTCCAATGTTAATTGTAGTTGTTAAGTGCCGTTTAGTCAGTTCTGACCCATAGGGACCCTGTATAGGGTTTCCAAGGAGTCTGGTGAGCTTGAACCACCAACTTTGCAGTTAAAATCAACTTTGCAACCCAGCACATTAACTCACAGCACAACGCCAGAACTCTATCCAATGTAACAGCATAGAGTTATTCTATTAACCTCTAATGATCGTTTACTAATGTCTAAAGGTTCATCCTTGGTATTGGTCAGTTGTGTTTTCTCTCTTCTTCCTGATATGTCCTCTCAGATGTTTATCAGTAAGCCTTTTTTTTCAAAGAAACATATTTGACTGTACTATAATCTGCTTTCCATTTCACTCTGTTCTTTGTTATTTTCCTCCTTCTACTTCTTTTAGCTTTCATTTGTCCTTTTTCTAACAATGTGAGATGGAAACTTAAATTGTGGAATTTTAACTTTTTAAAAAAAATCCTTCCTTTTTCTGGCCATCAAAACTTGAGTAAGCTTTCTGGTTGGCAATAATCAATATATATTTTAACACACACCAATTCTGGGAGAATAGCACCTCCAGACTCCATAGTGAGGGAACAACGGAAGCTCCACATCTGGAAGCCTTCTGGATGATGGCAAATCCACTTCCTTCCACTGGCTGGTTTTAATCTATATCTTTTTCTTCTAATAACCCATAACTCTGAATATAATCGCTTCCAGTGAGTTCTGTGAGTCCTTCCAGCAAATACAGGGGGCAGATAGGGACTTTTGGGAAAGACTCTATCCAGCACCTTAACAAGTTACTCATGCTTAGCCTCAAAGTGCTATGAGAAACACAGTGTGGTTTAAACGGCAGCTCTCCCCTCTACCTGCAAAGCAGAGTTCATGAAGCAAGTGTTTCCAAGGTTTCCAAGTCCGCAGAGCCCAGGATGTATGTGAGACGATGGGGACTCCTGACAATTATATGAAGCAGAGAACCCAGATCCACTGGAAAACACAATCCATATCAAGGATAAAAGTGAGTGCTACACAGGTCCTCAAGATGCCTTTTGAAGTTCCTCTAGACCCTCTAGAATTCCTGCCTGCTAGCAATCACATGACAAAAGTTCACTCTATTCCTTTCCTCAGTCCCCTTCCCTCCCATTACTCTTAAGGGGAGAAATACTCTGACTCATCCTTTCTTAGGCTTTGACAAACGCTAATTTTTGATCTCTCCAGAATGCTGACTGCCAGATGACTTCAGGGAAGAATATTTTGGTTACATTACCACCCACCAACCCACTTTCAGCCTCAACTAGGCCTAAGTATTCATGCACATCCTCTAATCTCACTTGTTTTCTTCTACCCTGTCTATGCCATGTGGAAGGTGCTCCTACAGTGTTTGGAGAAAGGGTCACAATCCAAAGGGGAAACAGGCAAGTCTCCCCCACAGCTGAGAACTAGCCCATCATAGCTATTATGTCATATGGCCATCCCTTCCTATCACAAACAAATGCAGCAACCCCCAAAACCACAGGGGAATTGGGCAAGAGGAAACACACCAGGCTCCCTAAAGAGTAAGCAACGACCAATGATGTGCCCTGAAAACTTTCACTCAATCCACAATAAAAACCTTAAAAAAAAAAAAAAAAAAAGAAAGAAAAGAGTAAGCAACGTTAGTCAGAAATGGAGTGAGACACCACATGCAGCACATTCCTACTGGGAACTCTCATCCCATTAGGTTTAGTGTAGCAGCTGAGGAGCTATCCAGGAACAACCCAGTAAAGACAGAGGGAAGGGATGCAAAATGAAAGGTCCTGCTCTTACCCCCTGCTGACACCGGAACTGTGCATCCCAGAGGTGTTAGTGCTATCACCATTTGCAATGGGAGAGGCAGACATTGAGGAATAGGGACTTGCTGATGATTTTGAAGAGGTAGTAAAATTTCTGCTAGGTACAAGGCTTGATCTGGGAGACAAAAGCAGAAACAAAGCTACTGACTTTTTACAAACAGCAAGCCCTATTTAATACCTTAGGTCTCTTCTCAAATTAATGTTCTCCATACTGAGTTACTTATAATCAATCACAAAAAGCCTGTTTTTACACTACTTCAAGATAAATTTCATTTAAGTGAGAATCAAGAAATTGGCCTTTCTGTCTCATTTGTCCACATGCTTATTTACTGAACCTTTCAGTATGATAAACTACCCAAGTGCTTCAGAGCATCCTCATTTTATTTAGAAATCATAAGGTTCTTTGTATGTTCAGAAAGTTATCAGTGAAAGACAGAAACAAATGCCAATAAGGCATGCAGTTCCTGAAAAATGCTTGATTCAAACAGCTGCCTATTAAGGACACTAGAATAGGAAAATGATAGTTTGGTTTTACTTTGCCATTCAAGGAGGATTATTTGATAATTTGCTTCCTCAAATTTACCAAAAGTAAATAAAGGTAAATTATAGGAGGGTAAGTAAAAAAGTATTGCTATAAAATCATAGACACCTTTATTAAACAAAAATATCAAAATGTGAAGCTGTTTATTATTTTTCTTCTTTGTTAATGTTTTATTGTGAATTACATGATAGTTTACATGGGAGAACATTAGTTTTACATTCATCCTATCGTATATCATTTCATTACCATGGTTACAATCCCCTCCATACATCATCAACCAACCAAAGGGTATACCCTGCAAGCCTGCCCCCTAGTCATCAGCACACAGCCCTTCTCTCTCTGTGGGTCTAGAGTTCCAAGATGTTCAAAGCTATTGTTTTTTGACATTCCCCTCAATCTAGGTCTATGTATTTCTGATGGCTGTGTTTCCATCTCTATAACCCTTCTCTGAAGATTTCTGTGCTCTTCGATTTATACCATATCAAGACAGCAGTTTTGGCATCCTCAAAGGAATCAAATTGTGTTCTTTAAAATGTTCTGTGAGTTTGGGGAACAAAAGGAAGTCTGGTATGGCACTCTAGGATCAACACTGGACTGAGAAGCACAAGGTTGGCAGTTCAAACCTACCACCTACTCCTAAGAAACCAACTCAACAGCACTTACCAACTACAAAAGGGGGTAAGGTTTTTAACAGAATTCTCCTAAAGACAGCCCTTGCTACCTTTGGAAGAATGCATTATTATAATGAAAAAATTCCTCAGTGCAATTTTCCTGGACTTTTTCTCACGAATGCAGTTTTCAATTTTCTGAAAATGTCTCATAATAAGCTCGCCACCGTGATCACCCTGTATCCTTTGAGAAAATCTATCAGGATTCTCTTTTATAATCGAAAAAAAAAGTCACCATAACCTTTTGAGTTGGCCTCTCTGCCTGAAATTTAACTGGCTCAGCAGATCCCCTCGGAAGTTACTGTTTTGACTGGACTTTGTATTTTTTTTTAAAGGCACCCTAATGAGATGAAGACAAGAGTATTACTGAGAAAACTAGTAGTTGTATATAGCCATCACTGATTGCAGAGACATGTTTGAACATGTTTTGTTTGGAATGAACATCCATGTACATATGAACTGAAACCCTAGTAGCATTTTTACTTACCCTCTTATAAACCTCTCAATCTAATTTCAAACTCATCTTTGAATATTTTTCACAGAATCTTCTTTCAGATTTACTTATACTTTCAGATTAATTCAAGAGCTAACTACCACCCAAATCTTAAATTGGAATCAATTTTATCAATATCTACTAAAATATGTCTAAAAACATAAAGAAGAAAATTAATTTTTTTGCACTGTTTCAAATACGTATAACTGAGATTTTCTTCTAGAATACGGAATTATTTTTTAGAATAGACAAAATACTTAAGAAGGTGTGCTATCCCAGCACAGTGCCACCCTTTCATGGGGTTTGATCTCAACCCAGGTTATCTGTGAGAAGCAAGTGAAATGCCAGCAACAAAGATAAGGAGTGATCCTGCCCATATCAGTAGCAGAGAGACGTCAGGAACCAATCCAGCAGCCTACGTGGGCACAAGGAATCAAGTGGTGCTCCACACTCCGAGGTCACAGAGAGAGACAGAGGGAGGACTGCTCCAGATTTCACATTCTAATAGGAAAAGAACATTCTCTAATACTGAAGAACATTTGTTTCACACAACCGCATCCTCATGCTGCAAAGGAGTCTAAGAATTAATTAATACAGTGAGTCTTGTTAAACCAGAGACACTCTATTCCATAACCCAGGTGACTGAGACACGTATTTCAGACCAGTGCAATGAGACAGACATTCCCCTGCCTAGGCAGGCAGGAAAGTCCACCAGCCATGGTTGGTATGAGATGCAGCAGCAGACTGCTAGAAAAGAGTGAAATTCAAATTTTGAAGTATAAAGCTTTCAAGGCTTAGTAACTGGTAACTTACTCCCTTGAGCTTAAAACGACAAAATGAAAAATCCATTAAAACCATTACATATATCCCAGGCCTGTCAATTCTTTAAAGAGAAGAGAAAATACTTCTGGTTCAAAGAAAAGAAGGAAATATTTTATTTACTATTTGTTCACAATATTCTAGAAAATGCTGCTTGCATTTTTCATAAGAAATTGGATCAAAATGAAATCTAATGAAAGGTACTACGTTTGAAAAATGTACATAATACAAAGTATTCTTTTAAAACGTAACCTTGATAGACAAGACAAATCAAAGACAAGAACTCTATCAAGAGAAGATATACATCCACTTAACCAAAAAAAAACATGTCCTTATCCAGGGACTGGTCCTTCCTGACAACATGTCCAAAGAACCAGAGATGAAGTTTTGCCATTCTTGCTTGTAAGGAGCATTCTGGCTGCATTTCTTCCAAAACAGATTCACTGTTCTGGCAGTCCATGGTACTTTCAATATTCTCCAACACTATAATTCAAATGCACCAATTCTTCTATGGTCTTCGTTATCCATTGTCTAACTGTTGGGGACCAAAAGGCTTACAGGCCTCATAAAACTTAAAGAATGTCAGAACTGCTCCTTATTTGATTATTCAGTTATGTTTAATATTAACTTAGAACGTGAGCTCTTGGTATCCATGTAAAACTGAATTTCCCTCTAGAACTGAGACAGTAAATCTTCCTCAGAGGACGAACAAGGACAGGTTTACTGGGATTAAGCAGGGAGGTTCTGGAGAGGAACTGCCCGGGGTATTCATTTGGGGTGGAGTGGTAAATTCTAGGAATATTGGATTAAGGACAATGGTGGCAACTCCCTTGGACCTCCCTGGGTTTAATCAGTTTGACCTATATGTTCTCCTTCCTCCTGAAAGCTTAAGCCAGGTATCTGAAACAGCTTGACTTTCTTCAGACCTTTTGAAATCCTTTTCACCTTTACCCATTGAAGATTAGGTGCTATAGGTATGTTAATTAGCCTTG